CAGTGTTTCTAAAACCATTTGGGTTGTTTTTACTATTCAGCTAGTATGGTGATATTTGTAACTGATAGTTCTTTTCTTTGCATTTATTATAGCATCTTCTATATTGTTGCTAACTGGCTAATGGCAATAACGCCTGGCTTTAAAACATGTTCAACGACAGAGAAGAAGATTGACGTAAGTGAAAAATGATTACAGCTACTTTTCGGTCTGTTTTCCTCACAGAGAGGATATATATTTCATTGCTGATGGGGGGCGAGGGAGAGACTTAATATAACTAGAGAAAATATTTTTATCTTTCCTTTTAGCAACAAAAAAGGGGTATCATGACTCTAGCCATAGCAATGAGTACAATAATAGTGAAATTACTTTTGAAAATCTATAAAGGATGAAATGTTGTTGATAAATGTATTTCTTGTTTGTTCCCTGTTTGTCCTGTGAACTTCTTCCTTCGCTAATGATTGTAACGAAAGGTCTCCAAATGAAGGAAGATCTTCAGCTCTATGTTTACTCACTAAACTTGCGACTTCAAGAGGCTGCTCCTTTATGATCTAGAAACATTCAGGGTTTTGATATCTAAGTTACAAGGTCATGCAACTCTCACGGTTGAGTCCTTTGTCACAATGCTCCAAATTTTGTGCTAATTGGTTGTAATGAAACAAATAAGGTCAGATAAGGTCTTGCTGTATTTTTGAAGGTTGCAATGGCATGTAAAGAAGAGTTATTATACTTGCAGCTCGTCCTATTTGTCGATCAGCCATAATAGCAAACATCTCTCTCTCTAACGATGTTTCATACTTTGCATGTAGCGTCTAAGACCTATGTTTTCTAGATTTGCTCAAACCCTGAAATTTTGTAGCCCTTTTTTATTTTTCCTCTTTCCTCGGTTTGCAAGCCAATGAACTGAAGATCACAATTAATAGCGAAAAGAGAGACGTAAGGAGAATGGTGCTAGTGATATAAAATAATCAGGCAATGAAAGAAGAGATCTTCTGAAATTAATCATTTGGGAATATTTTCCTCTGAGGGGACTTCCCTCTGTCTGAAAAGAAAACAATTAGAAACAGCTCTCCCAAGTTAACTTCACTTACCATGAATACAGGGCCATTTTGCATAAATAGAAAGACTTCGTTAGACAGAGCAGGGCATTAATCTTATCAACATTACGTATGGATTTTCCCTCAACGGATGTGTGGGGTGTGGTTCACATGGTACATGGTTTTTTTTGTACTTTTACATATTTTGTTTCTTATTAGATACTCTACAAAGATATCGTGTTGTTGAGCTTTATATTTAGTGAAACATATTTTGTTTCTTATTAGATACTATACAAAGATATCGTGTTGTTGAGCTTCATATTTAGTGAAACATAGTAGGTTCAACTTTTCCATCATTTTAGAATGTTTTCTGAATTGAACATCTTCAATAAATATTTGTTTGTGTGTGCTATGATTGTTGTCATAGTAGAGATATCTTAGGACCCTGAGCTCACTCGGTTTAGAACTAATGACATCTTTATTTGGAAATTTCGAATTAACATGTTTATAAATAAGAGGAGTTACAAGAATTAAATCAAATGTATCTGAAAATTTAACATGTAACCCTAAGCTAACCCTAACCCTAAGCAAAACATTTTGCACTGTTATTTGTACAGATATTCCTCAAACATGTGCAAGGCTACTCCTATGAGAGCACAAATAATACAACACAGTAGGAACAACAACAATTTCACCGCAAGGTCCTGCCCAAAGGAAATATAAAAAAAATAAAGGAAAGTTAACAGTAGTTAAAATCACTCATTCTGTGTCTAGTAAGGAAATTAGATAGACCTGCTGCTGCAGTATGAATTTGGTGAGTGTGAAAGGGAAGCAGAGAGGATATGCTGTCAATGTTTTTTAAAGTTTTATTTCCTTGTTTTTCTTTGGTTTCCCATATTTTCAGAATAAAGTATTTCTGATAATTTTTGGTTTGTTGGTCTGTTTGTTTGTTTGTTTGTTTTTTCGCACTTGTACAGTTGTTTCACCCAGAAGCTAAATACGAGGGTTTTAAATTCCCAATTTTTTTGGTGCACTAAGTACATGCAGTATATGTTTCACTTTTTCATACTACACTCCTTAATACCCTTGAAGAGTAATCTTTGAATATAGCAGGTTTTATTATACACAAGAGATGTTGTTTGAATGACTGTTCTTATTAAAGACAGGCTGAGGGCCTCACGTGAATCAAAACTCCACTCACCACCACTAGTTTTATTTGTTGTTGTTGTTTTTTTTTTTATCATTTACTCACCTGTGTTCTCTGATCGTTTATGGTCAAGGTATTGAATCTGTTTATTAGGTCCTCCATGGGCTATGGATTGATGCAGAAATAATATTAAAAAAGGATTATTAGAATAAATTGATTAAAAAATAAACATTCAATCTGAAATTCTAAAAGTGCGAAAGTCTATTGCAGAATTCTAAAAGCACAAAATTCTATCAAATTTATAAGCCTGCAATTTGACTTTTGTTCAAATAGAATATAGCAGAGGAAACTGTCCATTTCTGTGCGTCTACCTTTTGGTTAACCGACAAATGAAAGCAATTTTTGGTCTGATATAATCATAAACTGTGATAAGCTTATCACATGAGTTGTGCGAAACTTTACCTCTAACTCCAAAGAGACGTAGCCTGCGCGTGCTTTCTTTGATTAGTGTAAACCGGTTAATTAGTTCACGTTCTCCGAGTAATCACGTGGATTTGTTTTGAAGAGCTCGCGGGTTGAAATGAGCCCACGCTCACGCTGGTCATCTGGCCAGTATCTATGACGTGTTTTCATCCATACGTAATTCATGTTGTGTTATTTTTCATCTGTGGGCTTTATTGCTTAATCTATCTTGTGCGAATCCTTGTGCGATTTTCTGGAGCCCGTTTTCTTCGACGGCATCTCTGTACCTTAGCAAAAACTCTTGATTCAACGGCGCAAAGTGATAAAGGAACAATCAACGTTCTCATACGAATATATAAATCGTACAGATTTGATAAAAAACGTATAAATACTGGAGGAGAAGAATGGTGAGTCAATGCAACACATTCCTCTCCTTTCCCCTCGCAGAATGCTTGAATAATTTTTGTCGCTTTCTCTCACGACACGCTGGGTAAAGAAGTAAAAAAATCAGCGTCTGAGCGAAACACTTAGTAGCCCAAGCCACTGTATTTAGGCCGTGAAAACGAAATATAATCAGAAGTATCTATATCACCAACGTCTGCCCTTAAGAATTAAAATCTCGATTAGAGCTCTTCATTGTGGTTAGTTACCATGGTTTTTTTCCTCGCTCCATTGGAGTTTTTATTTTTAGCTCTAAGGTTGACCGATATGTCGGTGAAAACTGGTGACTTAAAACAGATCAAAAGTTCTATTTATGACTTTTGAATGCTAAATATGGTTGAAAATAACCAGGCAATGACAAAAAAGATCATCTGAAGTGAATCGTTTTGGAATATTTCCCTCTGAAAAGACTTTCCTCTGTCTGAAAAGAAGTTAACTTCACTTACTATTAATACAAAGCCATTTTACATAAATAGACAGACTTATTTCGGTAGAGAGAGCAGGGCATTAATTTGATCACCATTAAGTGTGGATTTTCCCTCCAAAGGATGTGTGGGGTATCGTTCACTTGGTCCAGGTTTTTTGTTTTTTTTTTTTACTTTTATATATTTTGTTTCGTATTAGATACTATACATAAATTTCGTGTTGTTGAGCTTCAAATTTAGCGAAAGATAGTAGTCAACTTCATGTTTCCGTTTTCAAGATGTTTTCTGTATTGAACATCTTCAATAAATATTTGGTTGTGTCCTATAATTGTTGTCATAGTGGAGATAACTTAGGGCTCTGAGCTCACTCGGTTTTGGACCAATGGCATCTTCATTTGGAAATCTCGTGTTTGCATGGGAAGCAGAGAGGATATACTGTCGATGTGAAAGTTTTCCTTTCTTGTTTTTTCTTTGGTTACCTATATTTTCAGAATAAAAGTATTTCTGATAGTTTTTGGTTTGTTAGTCTGTTTGTTTGTTTTTTTTTTTGCACTTGTACAGTTGTTTGTACATACAAGCTAGGTACGAGGGTTATGAATTCCCAAATTTTTCGGTGTTCTATGTACATGCGATACATGTTTAATTTTTTTAATATTCCACTCAACTTTGCGCTCGAAGAGTTATCTTTGAATTTAGCAAGTTCCTCAACATTGCTGGGTGTCTCTTATTAAAAAAAATTGAGTGTGAAGGTTTAAGCAGAAAGGATATGGTGTCGTTGTAAGTCATTCCTCTTTTGTTTTTTCTTTGCTTTCTTTCATTTCTTGGAACTAAAGTTTTTTTTGGCATTTATTATTGATACTTATTTTGAGCACTTGTATTTAGGTGCAAGCCAACATAACCGTTACTTTGAAGTATCACTGCTGTTGTTGCCTTCTGCGAGTCAAAATTTTGGCACAGAAAGCTGATCATACAAAACCGTATTCAAACTGTTCGCAGTGATTAAGGAGTTATGTTTATTTGTATTAATTCAAATATTTTCCCTGTTATCTGAACTGAAGCATTAGAACAAAATTCATGTATTTTCTATTTGGTTTAACCTCGGCAGACAGGGGAGGCCATTCATTTGATCAACATTAGTGGAGGTGTTGGGAATCTTGCACACGGTGCATGGTTTTAAATGGCTTATTCATATATATTCATATATTGTATACTGCCCAAAGATTGCGTTTAGTTGAGATTCATGTTAAGCGAAACATAGTGGGGTCAACTTTATGTTTTCATTTTCGGAATGTTATCGATAACTTTATTTTTATTATTCATCTGGTTGTCAAATTGTAGATATCTTAGGCCTCTGAGCAAATTGCCAGTAGGAGAATGACGTGCGAAACAATTAATTTTTGTTTTTATTTTGTTTATCAATGTATTCATTTTTACATTTGGTCTGTCATATTACGTGAAATTTTTTTTAAAAAATGGTGTTCCTTCTTGTGATGATCTGTCGCGCTTCGATAGTGATAACTTGAATGGAGTGTAATGACTGCTTGAAAACACTGATATGCATTCGCTTTGCTGAGCACTAGAGCAGGTACACTTCTAGATTTCAAATGGAATTGACTTGTTTGAGGAAGGTGAAGAGGAGAGACGGGGTGAGGAATTAAGTTCTTTTTCTTTAAGTTAGGAAATATCCTTTGGTCCTTACACCATGTAACAGGGTCATAAGTATTTTTGTTTTTACGTGTTCATGACAAAAAGTATATAATCATCTGAACACCATTTAATACCCTTATTATGGGTCAGTTGATTAACTTTGCTAATTACAGTGGCTTGAGGAGTATTTCTTGAAGAAGCAGATACCTTATTAAGGAAATAATCACAAACTTATCAACAGCAGCTTTTGTATATAGTATTTTCTTTCTATTGCTCTAAGATACAGCAGCTTTTCACCTCAAATGAACAGAAATTCTAATTTATATGTTTAAAATATGTTTATCTTAATAGATACTAGTTCTAATTTAGGTATATATAAATGTACACTCCCGTGAAAAGCAATAATGTGAAAAGTATCAAGCACACAGCCAGGAGGAGACCAATTATGAACTGATCAACATCTGGTCGGTGTATGTCTCTTTCTCCGCTTGATCTCTAAAAAAAATCAAGGACAGTGAGCAAGAGTTAGAAGCACTCATTCGTTGTTTAGATAGGAAATGAGGTGGACTCGCTGCTGCAGTATGACATTATGTGTAGGTGAAAGTGAAACAGAGGATGTGCTTTTTTCTTTCGCTTTGTTTTGTTTTTCACTCGTACAGTTGTTTGTAAGTACAAGCCAGTATAAGATTTTTAATTTCCAATTTTTTTGTGTACTTTAGTACATAGAGTACATGTTTCTTACATTAAAATATCCCTCTCACCATTACGCTCGAAGTCTTTCTTCGATTTTGAGGGACACCGCTCCCTGAACAAGTTTCTCTCTTTTCTTTGGCTTTTTTTTTTTGGTAATTTCTTGGTATTATTTTCTGAGAACACTTGTCTTTAGGTGCAAGCCAACATAACCGTTAATTTGGAAGTGTCAGAGCTGTTGTTGCCTCCTGTGTGTCAACAATTGCCATCGAGAGCCAAACGGGCAAAAGCCATACTCAAACTGTTTGTTGCAGTTTTAGTGATTAAGGACTTGAGTTCATTTGTATTCATTCAAATGTTCTTTTCGTCATCTGAACTGAAGGAAAGTTTGTTGTCACTTATGACAAAATTTATAAGTTTTCTTACCTTTACGTACTTCCTCATTATGTCTGCCCTGAAAAATAAATGAATAAATAAACTCATAGAGAGATAAAAAAAAAATACATGTTGTTATTATCAGTTTTAGGACTTTCGTAATTTACTCTTGTTTCAGACAACTTGCCACATAAAGTTGGTTGTGATTAACCCTTTAATTTCCAGATCAAATTTGTAATTCTCCTTACTGGTAACCATACAATTCTTAAAATGTTAGATCAGAGAATTTAGTATTGGATCAACTAATTATCCCAAAGTAATATTTTTCTTTATTCGCATCACTTTTCTGGTTGATATTGGAGTGATAGCATAAGGAGAAATTCTGTCTCGGTCACTCATGGGAGTTACAGGGTTAAGAAACTTCGTGATGGCAATCAGGAAATTAGTACTTACTCTTGTTTCACTCGAGGTTGTTTCCTGGGCACGAGCTGAAAAAAATGCAAACAGACATATACTTAGTAGTTGAAGCTGTTTTAGCAAAAGTTGTTTAAGCTTCTACATGCATCTTGCAAACCAAAGGTTTGATTTTTCCCCCGTTGTCATATGGTTAATGTGGCCTCCTTATGATGTTAACCGTTCCTTATTGTGCACCTATTATGAAAAGTTTTGAAAAGAAATCGATGATTTATGCCTCAAGATAGCAGAACTTACTTCTACCGTCTGGATGACATTTCCTTTAGCATTTGAACCTCCTTGAGTACTTCTGAAAATATCAATGGTTGAAGGCTGTGTTAGTTGTTTAAATATCTTATCATTAAGAAATACATTTCTGAACAATAGATACCAAATTAAAAGTTAGTTATGAAATAATTTATCATACTAATTAACAGGTCAGTTTCTTCAGCTTAAATATGAAGATTCAATTGACAATCAAACAACAAAAAGACAATGAATAATTGTGTACTATTGCATTCCAAAAGTATTTTCCTTACCTGCTTGGAGGCATATCCTGAAAATCCAGGGTAACTGCTGTAGAGGGTGCCTTTAGTTGAGATGGTGAGAAAGGAACATTTGAAGTGAAGTTGCTTATTTTAATAACCCTCCAATTTGGTTTTGGTAAATAAGAATAAAAAAGAGAAATAGTACAAAATCCGCCACATATGTATATGCGATGGTTATACCTGAACAGTTTCCTGAGTAATTTCCCTGTCTCTATGATCGAGAGATGACACTAGAGAGTCATTATCCTCCCCACTGCTGCCTCTGCTTTCACTGCTGTCACTGCTGTAGTGTATTTTGGAATTTCTGTAATACTTAAATGCAAATGACATAAAAGGTTTTACTCAGAGTCGCTTTCATAATGTAGCAGGTTAACTCTTTTCCCCGAATATCAGTTGAAAAAACGATCCTATGCGCATATGCTGTAGCTTAAATTCTGTCGTATCCATGTGAAGACGTTTTGATTTTTTCTTTGCTTGTAATTCTCTTATAATGTTTAAATTGTATAACCTTCATCTTGTCCCTTACTCGTATTTACGGCGTTTTTATCTCTGTATGATTTAGGCCAACATGAAGGAAGGGCAATTGGAACTATGAGTGTGTACTTCGGGAAACTGTCCTGTTCAGAGACAAGCTGAAAGTCATCGTGAGTCAAAAGTTTTAACTATAGTATTGTTATTTTGTGGTTAATTTTTATGTCAAAAGCATGGCATATCATTCTCCAATCGGGCTTGGAAAATATAACCTAGAAGTATGTAAAAAAAATCAACAGAAATGGCCATAATCTCCAGTACATTTTTTAGGAATTGCGATTGCCTGCACAACTTTCGATGCCAACTATTTCGTTAGGTGTCCTATCATAATCTCAGCAGTAATTTGCAGCGCTCGGGTTTGCCATTCAGCTTTAACTTCTTAATTCCATGTGGGAAGTCTTCAACCAAATGTCCTTTCATTTAGAGATATTTCACTCACCTTGAAGTTGCCTCTCTTGTCCGCCATGTTTGAAGTTCCCAACATCCTTAGCGGGTTACGTAATTACTTGCTCGTCACACAATCTACCACAACCAAAGGAGAAGCTCTTTATTAAATATCTCTATTTAAAAACCCTTTTATTTTTTAACCTTTTATGTCCAAGAGAGAGGATAACATTTGACTTAAGGTCTGGTTGCCTATTATTTTATCACTCTCCTTGTTTCCTTTAATTAATTCAAATGACGCTTTTAAAGTAGCTGCGTGACGGTTGTAAATACTCTGCAATAGAACAGCGCAAATTTGGGTTCAAAAAGATGGTATAATAATTATTCAACGTCGTTCGATGTAGATAGGAAAAAAGTTCAAAGTGCCGGTACAAATTCACGTTCAGCTCGAATCGATGTTAAGTTAAGGGTTGACCTTGTTATGACTTCAAAAGATTTTTTACTTCCGAGGATGTTTCGATAGAACGACTTCAGAGGCGATCTTTCTGTGTATCGTTGATCTAATCTGTAATCATATGGTCTTTCGCTTCAAGGTTTAACATTTTCACGTCATGTGCCACTTGGAGCAAATGAATGCAGGCTATTTGTTTTCGAGCGGGTCAGCGTCGTGATAATGTGAGCATACACTGTTTTAGTCTATCGCTTGCAATCGTTATCGTCCTTTCCTTCCTTAACCTTTTTCGTTCTGCTAAGGGTTATTGTGATTGATTGTAAACGTTGGCTGGCTTTCCTAATTTTGCTGAATATTTTACCTGTTTTGAAGGGAGAATTTTGATTTGTTTTCCTTCGAATTTCTTGACAGGAAATTATGCAAAAAAGATGAAAAAGTGACGATAAGCTTTCAAAGGGAATACGCTTCTGAATTGAGATAATTGCAAATTAAGGCAACACGTGAGTCTTGTAAGCGGTTTTCAGAGCTGTGAGGTTTCATCTTACCCGCACTTCAACACTCGATAAACCCTTTCAATTTCAATGCACAAGAGTGTTATTCGGACATAAGTGTGGATGAGGTGTCGCTAATCATCAGACCTCTTGCATATCGGTAAAAGCTTGTCTTGATTTGGTTTGAGGAAACATGATCTATAACCAAAGTCGATTCAACTGGTACATAATATTTGATCTGTATACTGGAGAGAAACAACTCAGAGCTTTGACACTAATCTGCCTCGTCTCTGGGGGGTGACATTCACGAAATTCCATTTTCGTTTGGATTTATCTTAAGTTTGATTCATCGGAAACTTTCGGTTTTACAGGCGTTCCTCTTTTTTAGATTTTTTCCTCTCGTGGAAAGGGTAGCATAGCTGCATTACGATAATATTTTTTTTACAATCTTGTGCATTCAACCTATTAGTTAAAACGACACTCTTGTCAGCGGAAATGTTGAAACTATTTCGTAACCTGCATGCAAAGCAAAAGTTTCTAGCATTTTCGAAGTCAGATTTATCAAGCTTACCTTCGAAGTATATACATCCGTGTGGAAAGGCACCATCTTGCTGAGTTGAGTCTTTCACATCTTGCAGTTAATGTAATTTTCTGCCTTTCGTGATCGCTTATTGATTGTCGTGACCGTTTTCTGTCCTTTGTAAACTGACGATGTAGACATCAAAAAACGAAGAACTGAAGCAAGTTGAGCATTCGAGAGTTCTAACCATCCTGAATAGAAACATTAACGGGCAAAGATAATGTAGCTCCCTTCTAACAGCTTTCAGTCAAATTACGAGTCAAATTCTCGTGACTTCAGCGAATCAATCAGGGTTGATTGACACCTCTTCTGGTTGGCCACTTGAAAATTCTTGCGGCTCAAATGAGTCTTAATGCAGATGACCTCGGGCAAGAATTTCCTTTGTATACTTTTATCTGTCATCTATTTTTATCCCTCTCAAACTAGATCGACTGAGTTGAGTGCTTGTGCTTGTGCTTGTCTTAACTTTTACCTTGACGTGCTCAATCAGAACTTGCTAACCCACTTAAAAATTTAAATTAAACCTATACTTAAATTTGCTTTTCTTTGCTCTTCCAGTGTATAGTGGAGACATAAATAATTCCATTCTCTTGCATACGCAAGAGTCAGCATTCTCAACGCTCTGTCTTTTTACAATCAGTGTGTGTCTAAAACGTTTCATAAACATAGAGTGTGATTCGGGATTAAGGGAATCAACTTTTGAACTGCTGTTTGTTAAAATAATTTGTCTGACTCGAGACAGATTTAGCCCAAAATTAGCTTCATTGGTATTCGAGTTTCTAAAATGCTTACTGTGCCTATTAGTGGATGATTTTAGCAGCACGTTAAGTTCACTCTTCTCGGTGAATCTTCAGTAATTAATTCTACTTTGTTAACGGATACTTTATGTTCAGTTTCCGTTCCCAAAAACTGTAAAGGGGGTCTTGGTTGTTTCCGTTCGAGCGTGACGTAGAAATACTGATGCAGACTGTCGCGTTAAAATGCAAATATGATACTGTTTATATGAATGTGGGCTGGATCCTTGAATGAGTAGATGAAAGAAGCGTGTCAACTGACAGAAACTCGCTTTTGTTTTTGCTATAGACTCAATCTTGAGGCATTTTTGTACAAGGTTTTCTTTGTTTTTATTCAGTGAAATGATTTATACAGTAAACATGTATGAAAGAATGAATAATTTAATAAAAAGGATTATGAGTCAGTGAACCAGAGCCATGTAAACAAAGTTTCTTAACGTCTAGGCCTGAAAAGCCACGGATCTACGGATTCTCTCGAACTGGAGGTAAATGTGTCGAGAACAAGAGGCATCCTTAGCGATTATCATTTCCCTGGGTAGGGCTGTTTCTTGATGTTTGCATACCAATGTCCACTCTTTCTGTTTCCTGCAGAAAAGAAATCATGTAAAGTTACCAAATAAGTACGTAAGTAGATTGATAAACAGCCCTCACCACAGAAGTCAGAGAGCTGAAAGTTTTGCGTTATGTTTGTTGGTTCCTTGATGCAGCCTTATGACGTCGATACTCGACGAGATGATAAAAGAAACAAGGAACAAACAGGGAAATAAACTATCCTGCGTTAAAATATTTTTTTCCAGCTTACGCTTACCTGATCAGCAGGGAACATCCGATACACACGTGGTCGCAATGTAAACCCGTAGTTTCTAAAAAAAAAAAAAAAGGCTTTCATTTCTCGTTCAAAACATTTCCTTTATCACGCGAGTTTGATTTCAGTGATAACCACTGAGAGCTACATAACCATTTAGTGAGTAACACCTACTCTGGTTTAACATATAAAAAAACTCCAGGAACAGTGCAGATTACTTCGTGTAGTCCTCAGTCTTTGATCATGAAGGTTGTATGGATCAAAGAAAAGGAGCTGTAATGCCAAAATCTTGCGCCATATATGGGAGGGGCCTTTAGGGTATTTTCTTGTCACCCATGGCTACTTTAGTAGTTCTTCTTTTTTATTTCTTGGTAATCGTTTACGAGGGTAATTCCGTGTATTCTTATCTAGTATAATAGTATATTAATCTTCGTATTATTCAAGAATGATATATTGATAAAGAAATGGTATTAAAATTGACCAAAAGAATTATATTATAAATGCGGTAAAGAATAAAGATATTAAAATAACAGTTTATCTATATTAGTTAAGACTAACAGTGTACAATATATAGCACTTTGGAAAAGTAAAGAATATGATATTTAGTCAAAATTTATGATTAATTGGTCAATAATCTTTTGTTTCTCATTTGATATCGTGGCTAATGCCTCATCTTTAGAGGAATCATTATACTGGGTTTTCTTGTGATATATCATACGGTCAACTATAGCATCAATGGGAAAGTATGATTTATCTATGTTATCTTTGATTACCAGTCTTTTGTGAAGTAATCTTACTCTCTTAAATTGTTGTTCACTGTCTACAGCAACCTTATACTCAACTTTCTTTCTCTTTTTTAATGGATTTGATCTAATATTTAATCAACTGATATAACAACTCTTTCCGTTGTCTAAATATTTTTTTATCAGCAGAAGGAGCTGTGTCAATGTGCTCAATTTTTGGGTTATTCTTTCTGTTTTTGTAAACCTAGCTGTTTTTGTTAGACAAATGCCATCTCAACGTTGGATTCAGTTTTTCACATGTTGAACTTACATGTATTCTACTGTCATCAAACATTATCTTATATATCGTACTATTCTTGTATAGACTATTAAACTTACTATAATTATGTCAATCCAACATTGGTTGTACTCTGGTAGCTCTTTGAAGTTCAGATGAATGAACTCAAACTTTCTGGTACGAGATTATGCGGTATAGAATTGTCTTTTACCCTTGCGATTGACATCGCAGATATTATAGTTCTCATTGATGTCTACGCCTTGGTATTATAAACTGTAACACTCAAACTAGGGATGAAGTATTCTGCAGACTTACTTATGTCAAACCATTCACCATTTATCTTAACGTTGTTATGTTTAATATCCTGCACAATAAACTCCATTGTACTGAACATTTGTTTGTCTTTGATATTTTGTGTTGCAGTTATAGGAGTACCAACACATACCTTCTATTTCTCAGTCTTACCATCATACTTTAAGTCAATGGTCTCTTTTTTTGTTTTGTACAAATCTATCACAGCATTCTGTATTTACTCTTATCCTGGTAGTATTCATAGAACAGATATTCTCATTGTACTTACCTATTGGTTCAAAGTAAGGGGATATCTTATCATTCTTGAGGAATGTATCGAGCATATTATTGGTCTCTTTATCATATCTATCAGTACGTTCAATGTATTTTATTTTTTGTTGTGCGACACATTTGATTGATAGTAGCTGATAACTGATAATGATAATGCACTTGACTACCAGCTTCTACAGGTTCACATTGATTGCAATCACCAAACGAGTATACCTTGTTATTGAACATTGTAAAAGCTTTATAAATTGTAGTAATCCATTTATTAGGTACCATATTAAACTCCTCAGTGAAGATATCTTTACCTTCAAGGCTATCAATACTCTTATCCACAAGTAACTATCAAAAGTGTAACACATTTTATTGACCTGTGTCTTGTCGTATCCAAAAGCTTGCAAACTTGTTTTGACATTATTTACGGCTTTATTAGTAAAAGACAACACAATACACTCTTCTGACTGTTTAACCAACTCACAGAGCTCTTGTGTTTCACCACTGCCAGCCTGTTCATTATGTAACACACCATCTCCTTTTTAACATGACATTCATCAAAGCACATGTTTTCTCTGTAATGCCTTTAAATGTATGTTGGCTCGGAATCTGTCTTGAATGCTTTGCCAATTTTTTTGTTTTTGTTTTTGTTTTTTTTTGAGCTAAACTTATATCTTTCTTGTTCCTGAAATTCATTTTACTGCCTGTGCTATAAATACCGTCTGCATTACAACCATATAATGCACTATCTTCAGAATAGCAACAATCAATGAGCTGCAAACACTTTAGTATGGCCTATGGTATTGTCAGAGAACAACCTCTCCACTCTCTGATCATATACAAGTCATCATGGTGATCAATAGGAAGGTTCTCTTCTCATTCATGGCAGATGTCCAACAACGCATAGCAGTATCATATTCTGTGCATGTACAACCATGGTTGATCTTGTCATACTTCCTACCAAGTTCACCGATGAAACTATTGGCCATCTTCTTGGCTTCAGCTTCTGGTTATTCATTCAAAACAAACTTACAGGTAAGATACTCCTTGAAAGTATCTGGTTTAAGAGCTCTTTTAGATGTGATGTCGTATTTTATCTGTGTGATTGGCATGTACATTACATCTACTGAGTCTCTTACAAGATTAGCACTGTAAAAATCTGCTTCTATAATAATGGGTGACTTGTAATAGTTGATAACAGTCTCGTCAATATAAAACTTAGCACATACTGTACAAAGGTATTGGATGGGTACTACTTAATAGTACATTAGGATAGGACTTACAGATGTCCATATTTACTACATTATCTGGTATAACATCTGTTGAACACCATTTTAATGCCCTTGGATGAAAGTCATCCAACATCTGTTTAGCAGTCTCATTATACGATCATCACGGTACCTTTGCTATGAAACATATTTCATGGGACATGTTTTTACATTTTTTGTATTCATAATTCTTACATTCTTTATATTCATTGAAACATAATCATTAACCAACTTCTTATACTTCTACCTATTGTTTCAATAGTATTGTCCATTTCCTCACTCTTGTTCATTATTTTCTGTATTTTGTATTTGTACCTTGGTGGAGGTACAGGTGCTACTTCTGTTGCCTTTTCAAATTCTGATCCTATTTGCTTAACACTTTTCATACCTACCACAGGTTTTGGTCCTCTTGATTGCTGCTTCATCAACAGGTAAATCAATTCAGATTTGCTCCTTTTTTCCATACTGTCTATTCATATTCTTGCTTTGGATAATATTTCCATTAACATTAAATATAGGTGTATTGCATTTAAATACTTTTGTGTTGTTCTTTAAATCCATTTTAAATTTTCATTCCTCTTAAATTGGTTTTAATAATATAAACTACATGTATTTAATTCTAAGATCTTTAACAGTACATAATTACTCTTCAACAATTTTATGAATGTATTTCAAATGTGTACCAAATGTTTCATCTGTTTTGAATTGTATATTACAATGGTCACATTTAATTCTAACATCTTTCATAAATTCACGTGTCTCTCAAATAGTCTCATCTTAATCATTAGATATCGTACACTTGTATCCTTCTGGTATTTTTCAATCATGGCTAATTGTTTATCAGATACGTTGTAATTTCAATTGTGTTAAACTCCACATGAAAGCCTCTGTGAGTAAGGTGATTGTCAGCAATAATAATATCTGGTTGACCACCTGTAATACCTTTTTTATAAAAACTAATTCTCTTGTATGACGTATCTTAGTTCTCTCCTCATTGGGCCATAGTATTAGTAGTATCCTGAAACCGCTTTCCAATGAATGCAACAACTTTATAATGTACATTTGTCTCTTGTCTCTATTTTAAAGATCTTACTATCTGGATTATCAAACAATATATACTGACCATATTTACTGATTGTTGGAAGTACTTTACTTGTAACCCAGTGTTTTGAACTTTGATTCTAATTTACTTGATAATGATAAAGAGTATAACCCAGATTCATTGATGAATATGGTGTGATGTGTGCGTTTGGTTTTTTTATGAGCCTTAGAAAGACCCGTCGATTTAACGGGTCCACTTTCTTTTGTCATCAGAGTATACATGTTTTCTTATGGCTTGATTAGTATCTACATCTCTAAGTATTTCAGCCACTTGTTTACCCTTAAATCAGATATTCTGTTCATCATCAATGTGAGCTGTTATTTTAACCTTAAAATTATTATTATTACTATTATTACATACCCATTCATTAAAAGTTATTATACTATACGCAAGTGACTTACATTTAAGTACTTTTCATATTGTTCTTTAAATCCCTAGAGATAATTTTATATGGGCTGAAGCAGGGGGTCGTTTTTACACCCTCAGCTCTTAGCCGAAAAATGGTTTTTGTTATTACACGGCTCTCGGTAGTAATTTTTATACTCTCTTTCCTTCAACAACTTATTAAACTTCTTTTCATCTGACTACTTTAATCTTCTTTTCATATGACGATTTATTAATGAAATTATCTTCTGCTTCAGCCTCTTGAAAGCCATTAAACAGCTCTTATTTTCTGTGTTAAAAGAAATATATCTGTCTTTCATATACTATCTTTTTTAATATTAATCAAATCCTTAATTGGTATCCAATTGTTGAAATCATCATCATATCCTTTCCACTTCACCGGAGCTTGTTTCTTTTTATATTTTCTCCGAATAAACTCTGAAAACTTAATGTTTTGCTTGCAATAATTCAGGTTCATAAAATGATCCTTTTTACTTCATTTTTCAAATCCTTTATTTTGTAAGTGATGGGATTGGTATACAAAACTTTGTCAACAATAAACATCTCTTCTGTCCAATTTGGAGTATATCCTTTGACAAATCTTTTACTCTTGTATTTTGATATTCTCACCTTATCCCCAACTTTGAATTTTGGTTTTGTTGATGTCTCTATATCATCATATAAATTAAAATAAACAGTCCCTTTATTCTTCTTTATGCTTGCTTCAGTTGGTGTCATTTTTATGCTTGAATGTTTTGTGTTGTTGTATTTTAACACTATTTGAGGCAATAAATCAAGATCTTGTGTGTTGCCTTGGACTGTGAACTGTTTCCACATGCTTTGTTTTATTGTTCTGTTCCATCTTTCAACAACAATGAATTTTTCTCCATTTTCAGTTGGGTACATTTTAACACTCTTTTTGTCTAATAATTCTTTGAGATGTTTGTAATAGAACTCCTTACCCATGTAAACCCATAGATATTGTGGTTGTCTGCCTTCCTTTAATGTGCTGTTGAATGCCTTAGTCACAGTTTCACCTTTCTTGTCTTTTTAAGGTTTTATCCAACCATATTTGCTGAATTTTCATGTTAAGTTCAACACTTTAGATCCAACTATTTCGCATTCCTCGCATTTCACATTCATTGATTCCAACAAAACATTAAAAGTAACACTAAATGGATATTATGAAATTATTCTTTCCGGTTATTATTAAGGCAACAATAATAATGACACATTAGTATTATCACCCACATCACAGGTAAAAGACCATCATACAACACCATGTTTGAATTTATCAATTCAAACAACAAATGGGTCACATATTGTATCATCCAATTCATCATGAATTATTTTATTACAATAAATTGTCTATATTAATGCATAGATAATATATCTATAAATGTGTTCTTGGTTTTCTTAAATTTTCTAATATATTATGTAATTCTTCGTCTGCTTCTAATATCATCATCTGTGAAATGTCTTATGTTACTCCAGTCATCAAAGTAAAAGACATCATTCAGTTCACTATCATCTATAAAACTACTATCATCTAAATATGTCCAATAATGTATACTATTACATTAGATAAAAATACATGGAATTAACCCTGTCAATGATTACCAAGAAATAAAAAAGAAGAATAATTGGCACAGGAGCTGTGGATGACAAAAAAAAACCCTGATGGCCTTTTCTATATATAGCGCGAGATTTGGCATTACAGCTCCTGTAGTACTTTAGATTGTTACTTACGTGGTAGGGATACGTAAGTCGTTTTGCTGTGAACATTGGGTCAGTATTTCTCCTCGCTCAGTCAACAACATTTCATGAAAGCCCTAATGAAGTTAAGAAAAAATTAAGGTTTTGCTAATGTTTGTTGGTTCTTTGATGTAGCCTTTTGACGTTTGTACACGATAAGGTAGTAAGAGAAACAAGAAACAATGAGGGAAACAAAGTATCCTGATAACAATGGGGATATGGGTGCTGCGTTATAAGATTTTCTCCCAGCTAACGCTTACCTGATCAGCAGCGAACATCCTATATACTCGTGGTCGCAATGTAAACCCGCAGTCTCTAAAAAAAAAAAAAAAAAGGGTGTTTATTTCTCGTTCAAAACATTTCCTTTTTCTCATGAGTTTGATTTCAGTGATAACTACTGAGAGTTACATTACCATCAAAGGAGTAACAGCTACTCTGGTTTAACATAAAAAACCACTAGGAACTGTGCAGGTTACTTCTTGTAGTCCTCTGCCTTTGATCATAATGGGTTGTATAGTTCAAAGAAAAATCACTTTACATTGTTGCTTACGTGTTAAGCAAGTCGTTTTGCTGTGAACATTGGGTCACTATTTTTCCTCGCTCAGTCAACCACATTTCATGAACGCCCTAATAAAGTAAAAAAAAAAAATGATGAAAGTTTTTGGAGGAAAGTGCGCATGTGATTAAAGGAAGATAGTGGAGCCCATGGTATTTTCGATAAGAAGTAGCAGGCTTGTAATTCACCTGCTGCTAACTAGTTTGCCTTTTTTTTAAAACCAATTTGAGGATGAAACCTTCATTTTCCCACCTCAGTCAACCACAGTGCGATTATACTTAAACTGTAACCTGACAAAACCTGAACTTAACAGGGTTATGACCGATAATATAGCTCTTCCTTTGCATGATAAGAGTAGTTTAACACTTATTGTATTTTATTCATTTTTTTTTTTAGGAAGACCAGAATTCACCTCACAGTCTAATCCAGTTGCGATTCCACCCAGCGGAAAGAGGGATCCATAGACCATCTGAAATTGCTGGTCTGCCATCTTTCTTGATCCTGCATCGAATACAAAACGGTATGCGTAACAGTATTTTATCTGTTTAACATACAGTGTTTGTCTACAGTGTGAGTATCGTGGAACACTGAAAGCGAATGGATACCAAAGGAATAGGATCCTTCATTCTGTCTTATTCCTGTGTTATGTCACACTGAATAGATTTATCTGATTGTTTTTTCAGATTTTGTTCGTGGTAGCAGTCAGCAAGTTTTAAGCTGTAATGTGATACTTTGTTGAGCTGTTGGATATAAAGCTAGAGCTTGGGGACATCAATGAATCCGTGAGCGTCGACAAGTTTGGGTACGGATTCATCAGCGTGGTGGCAGGGGACACATCCTCGTTTTACAATGTTGAAGAATTCAAAAATAAAATCTTACAATAAGACATGAGAGGCAACAGAAGCACTTGTCTTTTAAGAATAAAAAATCGAAAATAGATATAGAAAACCCTGATTCCTACACACGACCACGTGTGTGCCTCCTTTTTCTGCTCTACGTTAAATTGAAAGAAAACCTTATGATTATGAAGAAAATGTCGCAAAGATAATAAAATCCCTACTTACCGCTCGCCTGTAGACTAAGGAGTTATGGACAAAGATGTGCAATAAGCTCTGACTCTTTCTTCCTTTTTCCAGTTCGGCCTCGTTTCTCTGTAGCTCCTTATGCTTCATTACATGCGCGGACAGCAAATATCGCTGACCAAAATTTCTGGCAAGGTCCGAATTAAGTCTTTACCACCAAAGCGGCAACTGGCCTTTTTTCTAATGGGTGCTATTATTTCCGTTTATTATTGATATGTTGAAGTCTTTGCCCAGAATGCGTTCCCTGGTGCTGATAGAGCTGCTTATAACATAAATTTGTTGACTTGGACCGAAAAGAATGCCCTTGATAAGCGGTGATTACGAGAATTACTCTCTGAACGTCACCGCGAAAAGCTTTCGTCTTCGCAACCTTCGATGTGTTCATGACCCTGGTAGAGTTTTGTTCACTTCGCCACGCTTTAAAATCTTTCGAATCCTTTCTTGGTGAAACAGTAGCCAAGGGACCACAGAAGTAACTTGTCTTGTACTTACAGCCAATAAAACCTGTTGCAGTCTTCCCTTTAAGAATCGAGAAAGTTGAATGACTGTTACAGCTAAGAGATGCTAGTGAAATTTCGTCGTTGACCTCAGCGTTCTTAATAGCAGTACGCTGTTGAGAAAATTTCATGATTGCAACCTCAATAATATTGTTGCGCGTTTGGGAAATTCCCAGTCAATCACTTGATTCTTCATTGATGATGACGTCATCTATAAAATTCGCACTCTTCGAAGCGTTCTTGAGCCACTAATGTGAAGCTTTGTTTACTCACATAAGGTATTTAACTGCAGTGCAAGTCATGCAGAGAGGTGAAATGTTTTTTAAAGGCAAAATAGCGTTCCACAAGTCTGGAATTTAAATGCCACGTAGGGCCTAGATGTGCCCAAGCTTGCATCTTTCTTAATGAGCAAAAGAATAGATTGCTGTCACTAAATGTCAGTCACAACAGCGAGAGACATTTCATTGGTTATCTAGAGAGTGCCTCGATTGCAGAATGGCGTAGCTAGAGAGATCAAATTATGTATGTATGTATGTATGTATGTAATATTGTTTTCTTAGAAAAGTTTTCTTGTTAAATCTTCATTCGATGGCTAGCAATGGCCAAAAGATATTGAAATTGAAGGGACCATACATTGGATAAGACAATGCGATCCACTTTTTTAGTTTGGCATCAAGCTGCTATGAGCTGTAATGTTTTTATTTTTTTACATTCATCTACTTAGTTCTTAGGAGGCATGCAGTGTCACCGACTCCTGAAGAATCGAGAAAGATCATCAACATTATTTTCGCGGTGTCTTTTTAAAAAGCGTAAGTTAGTGAATGCTTAAGGCGACTAGTGATCAGGGGATCTATAAATCGCTTGAAGGACACAGCCTCATTTGGTCATGTTATTTTTAATCGGTGTGTTTAGTGAAGCGATTTCACGCTCGACTGAATTTGTATTTCTTGTTGATAGCACGGTTGCTTTATCCCGGAGCTCACGTAAATTTATGTTGTTATATAATTTTACTTCTAACCAGGTCACCTTTCTGTAGAATAGAAATCTTACGGCAGCTCAACAGTGTCCCTGCTAAAAGCGAAAGGGAGCTTGAACAAACCCAAAATCATGCATGATTGCATCTGGTCTATCGAGTGAATTTGAATAGCTGGGAGGGGAGGCAAGGGCTAACTAGGTCAAACGGAGATGAGAGAGGCACGGAGTAGGCCTTCTGAGACACTGGTTCTTCGTTCCTACCGTCAAGAAAGTGGGATCGAGATTATGCATACCGTGGTCTTTTACGAAAAACTCCGAGCTTGGTTTAAAACGAGTCATGTGAAAAGCCTTAGTTCTGAACATTATTTCCTCATTGTAATAAAGGTAAACGCACTTAAGCGTTAAGCTTGATTTTACTTTCAGAGTGAGATGAACTTGCAGGGGGTTAAGCATTCTTTGATTGAAATCTTATCGTTCAGTTAGTTTTCATACGAGTGATGGACACTGGCTCACGTAGCTAATAGAGACCGAAATACAGAGCAGGGGAAATAAAACAAGATGGTTTTTACTCTTTTCTTCCCACAATTATTTTCGTTTTTTTCTCATTGAGGCCCCTCTCTATTACAGGGGCGATAATAAATGTTGGCCACGTGAGATTCTGGTACCTCTTGAGTGGGATTTTTACTAATGATCGCCTTCGTCCGTTTTATCGGGGATCACTTCCCAGGTAAAAACATTTATAAGTACTTGCACTAAGCAAGTCTTACAATAGTCGTCTTTCGCTTATGCTCTGCCCTCTGACTCCTGTAACTTCTGCTCGCAAACAGGTGAGGTTGTCCTAGTTCTGAAGCCTTACAAATTCTTTCAAGATAACTCTAGAAAACGAAAGGCTATTATCAAGTCAAACATTTGCCGCTCTTTTCTTGACAACGCATTCTAAGAAATACACGAAATCTTTCGTACTAAACCGAGACCGCGATAAGGTTACCATAGAAAAGAAAGAGCCACGTGAGTACTGGATGTCTAAAATTCTTTATTTTGAGTTCATGTTGACATAAAGCTCTGAAACCCTACAACTGTGAGATATCTTACAATATAAGTCTCGTCCGATGTCAATCTTTATCTTCAACTTTAATGAAAGAAGGCTAATTGACTCGGTACTTTACTTAACCAACAACGGATATGACGGATACTAGTTGTCAATTTACGACTTACTTGAAGAGAACCTAAAACTTCACCAAAACCTTTCTTAATTTTCGTATCGACAGTGAACTGAAAAGTTAAATTGGGATATTTTCTGATTCCTTAGAAGCAAAACACCGCAGTTCTAATCAACTTCGTCTCTAACTTTTCTTCGATCAATTGGAATCTCTTTTCTACTCTTTTAAGAAGTCAAAACATTAGTGCTTTCATAATAAACTTCTTTTGATTGGTATCATTACTTAAATTATGTCTCTTTGAATAGCCCAACGTTTTGACCAATGATACACAAGTAATGCATGGATTGAAATGTTCCTAGAGTACGACTACTCGTACGCTACTAGAGTTACCTTGAGATGCAAATCTGATTGCAACAATAAGCTAATGTTGGGGAAACGTTTCCCTTATAAAAAGTCGAAAACAGGAATTACAGGATCGAATATCAAAGAAGAGAAGAAACTGTGGAGAATCTTATTTACCTGACTTTACCTGGCTTACGCACATCATAAACAACTGCATAAAGCGATCATATTTTCCTACAAAATGGAAAATGGCAAGAGTCTCTCCTATTCCTAAGGTGGTCAACCCAACCTCGATGAATGAACTGCAGCCTATCTCGATACTTCCGGTTTCATCCAAAGTATTTGAGAAAGCTGTTGGAATACAAATAATGTCATTTGCTAAGAGGGCCTCCATTTTGCATGAGGGTCTCTCAAGCTTCTGGACGGGTTACTCAACAACAACTGCACTCCTGGGCGTGAGAGATGATATCCGGAAAGCTATGGATAAAGGGGAAGTTACCCTTATGGTTATGGCAGATTTTAGCAAGGCATTTGACACTATTTGTTTTAGAACTACCTTACTAAAGCTTCACAAGTTAGGGTTTACCAAGCCCTCTCTGAAGTGGCTTCTAAGCTACTTGTGCGATCGCTGTCAATTCGTACAAATCGACGACAAATCTTCGTCTTGCCAGACAATTGCTTTCAGGATTCCCCAAGGATCTATACTGGGACCTATGATTTTTAATCTGTACGTTTCGGACTTAAAAGACGTCATCCCTGCATCTATAAAATGCTCACAGTACGCTGACGATACGACCCTATACCATCATACCCCAGGGCAAGACTTGGCTGGTGGTGTGTCGTTGATGAATAATGCACTCTCCGAGCTCCACAGCTGGTTTAAGGAATCTAATCTAGCTCTTAACCCAGACAAGACAAAGTCTATGATGTTCTCAACAAGCCAAATGTTCACTCGCCGTAATCTGTCGTCATTTCCACTACTGTTGTCTGCTGGAGGAAAGGATCTTGAAAGAATCAAGAACACCAAATTAAACTACCTGGCGTCCACCTTAATGAGAATCTTCTTTGGGATGAACACGTCAAGAACTCAACATCATCATGCTATGCTACTCTCGCAAGCCTCAGGAAAATCAAACATTTTACTCTTATTTTCTCCAGACTAGACTATTGTGATATAGTCATGTTCCCACTTCCCCAGCATCTCTTGAAGAGACTTCAACGCATTCAATTTTCTGCCGCTAGCTTTGCAACAGGTCGATACGTAAATAGTTTTGAATCCTTACTTAAGTTAGGTTGGCTACCGGTACGAGAGCGTCGAGACTGGCATCTACTGAAGACGGCCCATAAAGCTTTATATAGCCACAATTGGCCTCAAACTTTAAGACTCGAAAAGGTGAAACACACACGACTTCTTAGATCAAATAGTACAGTCAACCTGGTGGTTCCGCGTGTTAGTAATACTTTTCAGGACACTGCTGCCCTGATCTTCACTACGCTTCAGGGACAAAATCGTGTGTGGACAGCAAATCATTTTTAAAACAGGCCTTTACTTTTTTGAAATCTCGTCTATCGTAATTTTCTCGGTCTTAATTCCAAATGCTTTGTATTATAATTATTAATTGTATATTATCATCATGAATTGTTAGTTTTTTAACATAGATTAACTTAGTTTACTCTGGTGAAGAGCCATTCTATGGATAGACCGTAATAAAGCCTTTATTATTATTATTATTATTATTATTATTATTATTATTATTATCATTATTATTATTATTATCATTACTTTAAAACTGTTCTATACTGTTTTTCTAAATGATGCACAGAGCCCTTTTTCATGGCTTAGCTATTATCAAGAATAGGAGAATTACTATAATGATTATACAAATCTACTAGATTGATAGGACTTACGTTTACTTTTATGATACATCTCGCCTAGCTGACTATTTAGTTTTCAACATTTATCCTCATTTTAACTTATTATCTGTTTTAGGTTCCCGGTTTGGATGTTGGGACG